GCTATAATGCAGGAGCCATAGCTAAGGTTTAGCTAGCTAGGCAAGAGAGAATAGGCAAAAGAGAGATTTGACTAGAAAGGAGGGAGGTACAAATAGCAACCCCTAAAGGGTTATACTCACTATTGAGTACCCCACTACAGACTAGACAAGCATTATATTCTGACACACCCCCATAGTCAAAGTGGGGTATAATCAGCATAGCAAGCAGTCACAGAGCAGGTTCACAAGTGCAAGCAAAGCTAGAGGCATTCACAGAGGGCAAGTGAGGAGGAGGAGGGAATGTGAGAGGAGAGGAGATGGGAGGCGACGACGGAAGCTGCAGACACACGGTAGCGGCTGGCTCAGTGGCTACCGAAGCAAAGGCCCGGACTACAGGAGTAACTGGCTCTGCGGCTAACTCTGAGCGGCTGGAGCAACTGACCCACGGGCGACTGGCGACTACCGGAGATTGTAGCCTCCGGACTACTGGCGCTGCTGGCGACACGACGGCTCAACCTCCGCTCAACCTCCCCCAACTGTCCCACCCCCTTTCACACACCCCTTGTTGCACCCCTAGCTCCACTCCCACGTCACCCCCTTAGCACCACTCCCTCGGCTCCCACACACCCACCCCCCCTCAGCGGCAGCTGCAGCAGTGGGAGACGGAGGAGGAGCAGGAGCAGGGGACTGCGCACACACCCGTCACCCCCATGCTTGCCACCCCCACACCCGCCACCCCCAAACCCTAACACGGGCAACACGGGGCAGGAGCGCGGGCAGCAGCGCGGGGGACGGCGCGCGGCCCCCAGGGCGCCGCGACGGGGCAGCGGGGGCCGCGCGCGGCTCCCTAGGGCGCCTCGACGGGGCAGCGGGGGGTCGCGCGCGGCTCCCCAGGGCGACGCGACGAGGCAGCGGGGGCCGCGCGCGGCTCCCTAGGGCGCCGGGACGGGATAGCGGGGGCCGCGCGCGGCTCCCCATGGCACCGCGACGGGGCAGCGGGGGGCCGCGAGCGGCTCCCCAGGGCGTCGCGACGGGGCAGCGAGGGCCGCGCGCGGGTTGCGGGGCGACGCGACGAGCTCCCGGGGGGCGACGCGACCGTCGACGGGGGGGACGCGCGGGTCCCCGGGGTGACGCGTGAAGCAGGAAGCCGCCACGCGCCTCGGGGCGCACGGCGGGCAGAACACCGCCATGCGCCCCGAGCGCGTGGCGGGAAGAAAAAAGCGTCGCGCGCCACGGGGCGCGCGACAGACAGGAAAGCAGCGGAAGCACGTGGGGCCCACAGGCCAAGAGCGTAACAGCTCTGATACCATGGCACAATAGTAGCTATAATGCAGGAGCCATAGATAGGGTTTAGCTAGCTAGGCAAGAGAGAATAGGCAAAAGAGAGATTTTACTAGAAAGGAGGGAGGTACAAATAGCATGCCCTAAAGGGTTATACTCACTATTGAGTACCCCACTACAGACTAGACAAGCATTATATTCTGACAAGTCCAATCCTGGTCGTCATCGTCGTTGAAGTCGTGTTGGGGGGTAAACGGGTTGTTATCTGTGAACGCCCCGATCGGATGGCGTGCTGGCTCGGGAGACGGCATGCGCACGCGGCGACGGCGCGATCCACTCGTATGTGTCATTGTCATATTGCCGATGACATTGCGTACGGGTCCGGGTTGCGACGGCTGCTGTTGCTGGTTCTGAACTGCTGTGTTCAGGTTGCGCGATGGGGGCTGATAGTCCTGGGCTTGACGCGTGTCGTGCCATGTGTCTTGTCGGCCGGACCAGGTGCTCGGATTGGTATGGCGGGGGCGAGAGCGGAATTTACATTGCTCCGCCGAGTGCCCGAAGTTTTTGCAAACTTTGCAGTAGAGGCGCCGAGGTCGTCGCTCTTCTGTGTTGTCGGCGTAGAAGGCGAGACGTTCCCGTTCTCGTCTCGACGCTGGTCGCTGCTGATCTATGTCTCTTTGTTCGACGAGAAGGGCGGCGCATAGGGCGGCTTCCGAGACAGCCCCCTGTTGCCGGAGGAGCGCCTTGCAGGGTCGACACTCCGGGCCGAGTCCTGCGAGCACGATATTCACAAAAATCTCTTCTGAAATCGAGCTCCCGAGTTTCGCGATTTGATCGCGTAAGCTCCGGCAACGGTTGATGTAGCTGTTGGCCTTCTCCCCTGGTGCCATTTTTTGTCTCCAGTAGCCGATGGAGCAGGCGACGTGATGAAACCGAATCCTTCGGTTGGTACACACCGTTGAGGTGTCGCCAGGCTTCAAATGCTGGGGCGGGCGTTGTCTTGTAGGACTGAATTCCTAGCTGCTCCGCCGGCGACATGTTGCGGAGAAGTACGCCTTACGCCATGAGCGATTCACTGTAATATTGCGCTCTGGCGTCGTCGGTGTCGGCCGTGGGTCCCGCGTAGCTCCCGTCGAAGTAATGAAAAATCTGCGCGTTCTGCAGCAGCAGCTCCAGCTCGAAGCTCCAGGTATTTAAATCCCTGCCATCAAAGCAGACACTTGTCTTTATTTTTTATATGCTCAAAAACCTTGATTGAGCTGAGAGTATTGCTTCATCGCTGGGACAGGGAGTGTTGGGTGTTGAGCTATTTGTGTTGAGGGAGAAGGTGTGCGGGGCGGTATCGTGGCCATTCGCGGCCGGTTGAGTGAGTTGGGAAGATGCTCCCGCGTCGCCATTCCGCAATGTCTGGAGCCCTCGCTCCAAAGTGGAAAGTTGCTAAAGCAGTTGTGCGAGGGCGGCAGTACCAATCGTCGTCGTCTCCTCGTTTGTCGCAGCCGGGTTGGTCTGCGCTTCAGCGGTCAGATTTGTCTGACCTCCAGATCCTCCGGCCATTCTTACACGTGAGCGTGTGCCGGACGCCACCTTAGTTCGCCGAGGATTTCGGAGGTGACGATGGGAAGGATTCCTGAGTCGCTCTCATACCATGTTGCGATCAGAAGGTTGATCGTGCCTAGGATCACCTTAGGAAGGTTCGTAGTAACAGACTGTTGCAGCGGAAGATATTGACCTCAGGTCAGAGTGGATTTAAAACGACTGAGATGATAAAAACATGCAAATACATTCGTATAAATAAGAGTACAGGGGAATACGAAACGACCTAACTAGCCATGTACTCTAAGGGGTACATTCCCTTATTACAGCGAATCCAACCGTGCGACTCCAGACGGTTACGAACTGTTCTCGCTGTCAAAACTATATGCTTGTTTGTTTTGTCTAGGCTATAGTGGGGTAGCCTACAAGGGGTATAACCCATTAGGGTTAGTACTTGTACCCATTCCCTTGATAGTTCAATCATTCATGTCTGTCAACTTCAAACATCCTCCTCGCCACTGCAGTTGCCCGATGATGTCTGCTCGGACGGTCCAGATCCTTCGTAACCGTACGCGACCCTTCGCGTCATTCCGCCATTTCGCCTTCGTACTCTTTACTGTGTGCTTCATTTGCTGCTGTCAGGAGTGCACAGTCCTTTTCACCACTTGCTATTCGTAACACTTATCTTCCGCTACGTATTACCTGCGATCAACCCGGAGCAAGATCTTGCTAAGGAATTCTACACAATGTAACACTGATTTTGCGCGCTAAACATGTGCCAAACCTAGGCTTACGAGGTCCCTCGCTTTTTTACACCTAGGCTCTCGTTGTATGATCTTATTCTTCTGTCGGTAAGATTTTTTATTTCCAGTAATAACACAGCGAGTCTGCCCTGTGGAGAGTACAAACCGCTCTCAACGACCATGTTGGCGATTCCCTCACGCCGCGGTTCGGTTCAGATGCAGGCCACAAAATGACATTCGGTGAGGTTCAGAACGTGGGCGGACAGCACACCTTCTACTGTACAGAGCTGTGTAGCCCCACTACACACAGTAGTTGGCGTGGCGTTTCATGAATCATCACGGACTTTCCCCGAGCAGAGAGTCGATCGCCACGACACTGCACCAAACCCAATCCGAGTCAAACGATTTCGTGCACGAAAAACGCCTCCCCATTGTCTGAATCCATTTTCATTCCAGCCAGGCAGGTTCGTAGGACGAGAGTGCCATGTTGATTTTTCGCCATGTCAAACCTTTCAAACTGCAACCTACCCAACAAGAGACGCATTCGTTGTAGTACTGCCTCTAATTGCCTTCAAGTCGTTGCTTTCCGAAGTGTTGTCCAGTGCTAGGCGACTGAGCTCGAGCTACAGACAAGCGGCCCGTCGTCAGCCTACGGAGCGCAGCTCGCGCTCTTCGGCTCGCAGCTTAGCATACTAGTGATTGATTTGCTGATCGACTCCGAGTCGTCCGTCACTACTCTTTTTAAGACACTACACTCGAATTACCTTCCACCTTACCCGGCTCATTCGCGCCTAGTAGAACCTGCCATTCGCGCATCCATCCAACCACCGCCAGGTCAATACAAGTCACCAACAATCCCGACAGCTCCGCCGCGGAGCTGCCGACCGCTGCGCCGATTGCGGTATTCCGCGCGCCGCACAAGCGTTCGCAACATCTCATGGCCATAACGCCATGTGCGCCAGCATCGCCGCGAGCGCCTCGCCGATCTCTTTCGCACGTCACGCACGGCCTTGCGGCGCTGCTTCTTGTTCTGACGACCGCAAGCCACGGACTCTCGCTACCAGGTCAGCGCTTGCCCCTCGAGGCGCTATTCGCTGTTACAAACGTGCGCTAGCGAAGCCTGCCAGCGCATTTCCCTCCTACCTCGACTCTCGCCGCCGCTTCTCTTACTGTTTCTGCGGCGTCTTCCCGAACGAAGCCGCCTTCTCGCGTGGCAGTTGCTATGACAACGCCAGCCTGCATTCCCGTCTTTCGCGCTTTGCATCATTGAATCCAAGCAGCCCCGTTACGATTTTCCGTCCTGTCGCACGCCCTCCCTCACGCCCCGCCTTGCGTCGTCCCCCCACGGCTTGGTGCCGCCACACCGTGCATTCTTGGGAATTATCAAAAGTGCCTTTTTTGGAAATTCTCGAAAGTGACTTTTGAGAATTCGCAACATCGTTTTTTTTTTTGTCCAGTAAAACCATGGTCATCCCATCTGGGTCTTTCTTGTGCCGCCAGCCATGGCAATCAGCAGGCAATGCAGCGGCCCTCGCGCCTCTCGTCCTTCTCTCCAAACCATTGCGTTTGCACTTCCAAGGAGACGTTGCGCGCCAGGGTTGAGTCGCGGCCGCCTGCCAGCACCTGAACGCCCGCTGATGTCTACTTTAAGCACCTACCCCCCTCTTCTCCCCCGTCCGCCGCCATCTCTCCCCCGGCCCCTCCAACATCCCTTACCTTACCCAAAACCCCAACCCCCCCCCCCCCTCCTCTTCCCCCTTCCCCCGCCACCCTCCACCCCCTTCCCGCGCAGCCCCCCCCAAGGCGGAGCTGTACATCGTGGAGCTGCGCACGGGGCTCCCCCTGGCGACGTACCGCGGGCAGATCCCCGGATACCCCGCCACCGCGCCCAGGGACGATGGGCCCGACCTCGACAGCGCCTTCCCCGACGACCCCCCCGAGGCGGAGCTTCCGCCCGCGCCTGACGGGCTCGTGGGGGGAAGCGCGGAGGACTTGTGGGGGTGGCCGCCCGTTAATGGGACGGATGTTGGATTAGGCACAGGGGAGGGGGCAGAGACAGGGACAGGGACAGGGGCCGGGGCAGGTGCGGGTGCGAGCACGGGCATGACTGGAAACAGCAGCGCCGCTGGGGTACCAGGGACGGTGGGGAGTGCGGCAGCAGGTTCAACAGAATCATCGGCCGAAACCGACTCATCAGGAGGAAATGGACGGCTGCTTGTCTCCTCCTCCTCGTCCTCCTCCCCTCGGCCGTCATCTCAACCGTCCGCCTCAACGCCACGGAACTCCCACAGCTTGAAACGACCCCGGTTGAACCTGAAGGCGGCGCACGTGCAGGCGTACAGGCAGATGCTGCAGCGGCAGCAGCGGCAGGTGGCGGCAGACATAGGCGTGGCCGCCACGGCCCTCGCGCACCACTTTCACATCGCCTCCCACGGCTTCGCCGCCGCGCTCACGCCGCTGCAGCTCTGGCGGGTGAAGCGCCACCCCGCTGTGGCGGCCGTGCGCAGGAGCCGGATTTTCCGCAAGCATACATTCGACTCGCCCGTGTTTCTCGGGTTGCCAGACTCGCTTTGGCAGACGGCGGGCGGGCAGAGCAGCGCGGGGGCGGATGTGGTGGTGGGCGTCATAGACACGGGCATCTGGCCCGAACACAGCTCGTTCGACGACACGGTCAGTGCTTGATTGTGCTGCCATTGCCACCACCACCGCTGCCAATGCCTGCCACCGCGAGTGCCTTGTTGTTTTCTAATCATGTGTCACGACCACCACTGCCACCACCACCACCACCCTCTCTTCCCGGTCTTCCCCCTCCTCTCTCCACCGCACTTCCTCTTATTCCTCACACGTGTCCTTACCACCACCCTTTCATGTGCACACACGCACAGGCAGGCACGCGTGCCATCAGCAGCAGCCACCAGGGGCAGGCACTAAGCAGACACTGAGCAGGAACTATGGGCAGGCACACAGCGGGCATTTAGCGCCTCTGTGCAAGAATATATTTCACAAAGGGTTTGCAACAACAACCCACTTCCAGTCAATCGACTCCTCGTGCCTTGCCGTTGCAGCCAACCACACACGCACCCCTCGCCCACTCACACTTCTCACTCGCGTCAGCATGAACAGTGACCGCAACGTGGCCTCACAAATCACCCAGTTGCCCCTTCCGCTTCAGCCCTCCCCTCTCCCCCTTCCGCCCTTCCCTCTCCCCTCTCCGCTCCGCCCTCTCCGCGTGCCTCCCCGTTGCTCCTGCAGGGGCTGAGCGGCACGCCAGCGACGTGGCAGGGCACGTGCGAGACATCGGCGGATATCAGCTGCAACGGCAAGCTGATCGGCGCACGCAAGGTGTACAACGGGTTCAAGAAGGAGAGCAACGGCGGGCCCGACTTCTCGTACGACTATGACTCGCCTCGCGACTCCGACGGCCATGGCACTTGGTGCGCTGGGTGCGTGCAGGGGACAGGGTGAGGGGGGGCGTGAGGTGAAAGCGGGGGGAAGGAGCGGGTGGGGGAGAGAGGGGAAGGGGAGGGCGAAGGGGGAGAAGAGGGGAGAGGTGCACCAGAAGCTCCTGTGGCTGTTCCAACCTCCTTGCTGCAACTTTGTTCTCATGCACGCCTCGCTCTCTCCGTCCCTCTTCCAACTCACTCTCCCTTCTCCTTCTTCACACCCTCTTGCTCCCGCTCTCCATCCCTCTCGCCCTCCATCTTTCCCCCACATCTCTCCTCCCTGCACGCGATCACAGCAGCAGTGGGCGGGAAGGCGAGGCAAGCTGGCTATGACTCCTCACGACTTCTGATTAAACGATACTTATGAATCATGGATGCGACTCAAACGCCTTTTCTGCTCCGCTTCCCCCCTGCCCCACCCTCCCGCTCCCCCTTCCCCCCTCCCCCTGCACGCATTCAGAGCAGCAGTGGGTGCGAAGGTGAGCTGGTCAGTGGGGGACACGAGTGGCATGGCGCCGGCAGCGCGGCTGGCGGCGTACAAGGTGTTTTGGGCGGACAGCTACGGCACATACGCCTCTGATGCGGATATCGTGGCTGCTGTGGACCATGCTGTGGCTGACGGCGTGGACGTGCTCTCGCTCAGCCTGGGGGGCTCGAACCCCCAGGATAACTACTTCACGGATGTCGCCTTTCTCAATGCCAATGCTGTGCGTGTCCGGGGGGGGGGGGGGGTGGGTGTGTGGATTTGGGAGGGGAATGTTTCCTGGTGGGAGGGGCAGGGGGGAGTGGGAAGGGGAGTGCGGGAGGGAGAGGGTGGACGAGAGGGGGTGGAGGGAGGGGGGGAGTGGATGGGATAGCGAGGGAAGGGAATGAGAAGGAGAGTGATCTTCTGTGTTACAGAGGGACCTGTTGAGGGTTCTTAGTGGGTACGCTTTCCTCTCCTGCCTTCAACCCGCTTCCATGAGTCTTTATGAAGGACCGCCAACACAACATCCAAACTCGCTTCTTGTTTCGCTCCGAAACTCATAGAATCGAACAAGCACGCCTGTCACACCTATGTGCATAGACCACAGCAGGCGTTGCATGCCACACACACACCCCTCATGACCACGAGTCGACACACGAGGCACCTCGTTGCACTCCAATGCTCACACACTCGACGCACTCCCGCAGCACGCCTATCACGCCTCTGTGCAACGCTGACAGGGCATACTGCTCCCCTCGTACCCTTCTCCCTTCATCCCGACCGCTGTCTCAGGCTGGCGTGGTGGTGGTGTTTGCAGCGGGGAACGCCGGAGGGCCGAAGAGGTGGAATCCGCTGTTGTACCGCTCCATTGACAACTTCTCGCCCTTCTACCTCACTGTTGGCGCCAGGTGGGTCCAACTCCCAACCACCTGTAGTGCAGCGGCTCGCTGCCATGTCACGATTGTAATCTAGGCGTAGGTACCTTAGATATACACGCGAGACATATAATAGGAATGGAGACTGCAGTAGCGAGGATAGGGGTCAAGTAAGGAAAAGCCGAACCAAACCAACGGAAACCTGTCACTGGCGGGCTAGAAGTGGCAAGCGAAGAGAGACCGTTGGCACAACGGTAACCAGGAGTTACTACTTAAGAGAGTAAACAAGCTTAGGAAGATGCTTGCGTGATTGTTTCCACACTATGCTTATGATTTGCCACAATTTCTACACCGGACTAAGCACGAGGAACCAACACTCGCAAGCTCTCACTATCCAGTCCTTCTGGGGTCTCAGTCTGTCGAGCTAGGGTTTGAGAACTTGTTCGCCCAGTCAGGGGACTTTTTAACAATCACGCAAGAATACTGATGAACAGCCGCGATCTAGTACGGACTCGTTTGTGGAACGAAGCTGGCGGACCTGAGCCTACAGCGAGGTGGCGTGCCGACGCCGCCGCGGCGAGCGGACCTCTAGGCGCGGGGCGCGGGGGAACCGAGTCATCCAAATATCGGACGCCTCAGCAACGAGCTCGTACGGCCCGAGATAACATGAACCCGGAGCGAACTGCCTGCTCGGACCCGGGAGACACACCTCACGACTTGCGCTGGACCAAAGGCGTACACGAGCGATGGAGGAACCAAGAGGCACAGACTCTGCAGACGGGGATGCCGGGTATGGCGGCAAGAAGGGAGGAACCCGCCATCCGCGGATCACCTACCGCTAATCGGACGGAAGAGCCACGGCAAGGAGGGACGCTGGTATACAACGGAGTCGCGGAAATACCGAACGATGCGTGTGAAGCCCACGGGGGCCGAGGAGTACGGTGGAAAGCGACGAACCTACCGAAAGTCGAGGTAGCAGAACGATACACGGGAATCCCTGGAGTAGGGCCGAGCCTGAAGAACTACCTCATGCAGCTTGAAACGGTGCAGTACTGTTGGGAGCGCGACGGATACGACCCCGCCGAGTTCTTCCGCAAGATGGTGGGAACCCTGGCGGGAGAAGCGGAGACGTTCTACCGTCTGACCCGCGACGAAGTTCTGGAAGAATTGGCGGAGGGAGAAATTTCTAATCCAACGGCACGGTTCCTCCAACTGCTGCGCAAGGAGTTCGCCGGACAGACCAAGGCTCGCGTGGAAGAGTTCCGCGACTTCCGGAGGAAGAGGGAAGAGTCGCTGCTGGCCTACTACTGTCGGCTCCGAGAACTCGCCGAAGATCTGGAAAACAAAGATGAACGCCTGCTCGTACGGAAGTTCGTGCGAGGGCTGGAAGAAGAGTTAAGGGGAGTGGTGCGGAGTACGGTTTATAGCGTGGGCGCGGATATTACCCTGAAAGAAGTGTACCTGCTAACGAAGAAGACGGAGCAGGCACAACGATTGCTGGACCTGGAAGATTCCGACGGGAAAAGCCGCGCGAGGACAAGTTGGGCAGCCGCGGCTGTACCAGACACCCACCCGGGCCACAACAGCCGGGCAGACCCTCGGCTGTGTCACACTTGCGGGGAGCTGGGGCACCTGAAGCGCGACTGCCCCAAGGCACCGACATGCGAGCAGTGTGGGAAGCGTGGACATCGGAAGGAGGAATGTTACAGTCGGCCGAGAGAATCGCTGGGAGCCACTAGGGAAGAGCTCCAAGCTGAAGTCCGACGGTTGCAATCGCGACTGGAACAATTACCCCAACCAAAGGACGTGCAATCGCGGGCGCTATTGGCATATGAAGAGATTGACGAAGACGAAGGGGAAGGAGAGGACGACTACCAACGGGAATATGCAGTCATGGCATACCCGCGAGCGAGGGACGACATCCGACTCCGACCCCGGCCTAGCCAGTCCCAGGATAGCGGAGTAACGAGCGGGACCCGTCCACGGCTTAGCCAGGCGGACGAGACAAGGCCTCCAGGCATGAGGAGGCATCCGAACGAGCGAATGGTCTGTCAAGCGTCAGTGCTGATCGCGGAGAAGGGCAGCCTGACTGTGGGAGGGCTACCCGTGAAGCAAGCTATCATTGACACGGGTGCACACCACGTCCTGATCGGAAAAGGACTGGCCAAGCAGCTGAAGCTCGACGTGGCCGGACGAACACTCGAGAGAGGAATTCTACTCATGACCGCCGAGGGCGGAGAACCTAAGTGGATGCCGAAAACGAGGCGGCCGGTAGAGGTGGTGCTTTTACCGGGGACGGAGAAGGAGTGTTGCATACGGCTGCAGTGCGGAGTATCAGAATCCGAGGACTACGACGTCCTCGTCGGGATGGAACTCCTATACCGCGTGGGAGCTACCATCTGCACCTGGCAGGAGAAAGTACTGTTCCGGGCGCAGTACTGGGACCCGGAGAGTTCAGTGGGCACCTTGCCCGTGCGGTTCGTCCGACAGGAGCCGCGAGAAGCTTATCAGGCCCAGAAGCAGGACCTGACCGAAGATCTGGAAGAATGGCATTGGGAGAGGTACGGGGACGAGTATGAACGGCGGGTGGAAGAGCGGACCATGGGGAGGCACGCGCCAGACTTATCGGAGCGGGTCAGTCGAGTATGGGCATTGGACAGGCCCATTCGGCTACTGGAACTATATGGGGGAATCGGAACCGGATTGGCAGCGGCGTTAAGGGCGGGGTGCACCATCAAGCGGTGGATCCACGTGGAACGGGATCCAGTAGTGAGGAAGATGGCGCGGCACCACGCTATGCTTCTAAGGGACGAGTACCCGGATCAGATGTGGGAAGATGCGATTCCGCTGGAAGAAGAGCCTGAAATACACGACGTCAGGGAGATCTCCGAGCGGGTACTAGAGGACTGGGGGCAGCTGGATCTGGTCATTGCGGGATGGGAATGCCAAGGGTACTCCCGAGCCGGGGAAGGGAGGGGGATGGAAGACGTGCGAGGCGCCTCGTTCCGGGACCTCAGACGGGTGCTAGAGATGATTCAACAGCGCCAAGGAGAATTCGCTTTCGTCTTGGAGAACGTGGACATGGCGGAGGATCGGAGAGAACCCGTGAGACAGGCGTTCGAGGAGATAGCGGGGGTTCTAGGGAGGGGAGTACCAGTCGACGCAGCGCAGCTAGGTTCCCGCGCACACAGACTGCGGAGGTACTGGCAGAACGTGCTCTCCACGGCAGCGCTACGGCACTCGCTGGCGTTGATGCAACGACCGGAGCCAAGACTGGTGAGCGACATCCTGGAGCCGAACCGACTGCCTGCGCCCGTGACCAGCCCGGACCACCCCACGCAGTACCAGTGTAACGAGCCGGGAAAACCTCGGCAGGCACTGCCCACGTTAGTGTCATACGTGGAGGCCCGCGGGTTCGTTATGGATGGGGATCTGCCGGGCCCGGGAATGATCTACGATGTGCGGAGGGGAACATGGGAACAGCCGACAGCGAACGAGCGTGAAGCAGCCATGGGACACCTATGGGGAGCCACCGCACACCCCGAGGTAACAGAGGAGCAGAGACGAGCAGCGCTGGGCCGAGCCATGGACGCGAACGCGATGACATGGCTGCTCGATACCATGCGGATGCACCTGAAGTCGAAGGAGCTACAGAGGGACATTGCGTTCAGCGAGCAGAACCGAGACCGGGAATCGGCCGAATGGCACAGGAAGACGCTGACTAGGATAGAAGAGAGATACGAGGAAAGCATAGACGAAGGGTGGGCGGCATACATGGCTATGGAAAAGATGGGAGGAGAGAACGGAGGGGGCACAGAAAACGGAGGGGAGAAGGCGGCCCCAGGAGATCTAGGGCCAAGGGAGGAATGGGTGTTCGGAGGAGGGATGGACCAAGGAACAGCAGCCGCTCTACAAGAGGTGCTGAAAGAACACCGCGGGACTTTCGCGTACACTCTGCAGGAGCTGGGAAAGTGCACGACGCACGAAATGAAGATAGAGCTCACCACGGAGGTCCCGATATATCAGCGAAAACGACGGATGAGCCCGGGGGACCTGGAGATCTGCACGGAGAAATGTAACGAGCTGCTGGGAGCAGGGTTGATACAGCGTTCCGAGAGCGACTATGCCGCAGCGACGGTAGTGGCTTCCAGGAAGGACCTCACGGGGACAGTGTCAGCGAGAAGGATGTGCGGGGATTACCGGAGCCTGAATAAGGTCACGGTGGCCGACCGATACCCCATGCAGTCCGCGGAGGAGATCTTTGATAAGCTGCAGGGGGCGAAAGTGTTCTCCACCCTGGACTTGCGCCAGGGATTCAATCAGATCCCTATACGGACGGCCGACCGCAAGAAGACAGCATTCCATGGGCCAGATTGCCTTTACGAATGGCGGTTTATGCCGTTCGGAACGAAGAACGCGCCGGCCCTGTTCCAGCGGATCATGGACACCATACTCAGAGGAGTGTCAGCAGCAGCATGCTACATCGATGATGTAGTGATCTTCAGCGCCGACGCGGAGCAGCACGTGAAAGACGTGAAGGCTACGCTAGACGCTATTCGAGGGGCCGGGCTCACATGCCATCCAAAGAAGTGCAGTTTCGGGAACACCGGGGTGAAGTATCTGGGGTTCGAGGTGCAAGGAGGGCAGCTAGGAATTCAGCAAGCGAAGGTGGAAGTCTTAGACCGAGTTCCGCAGCCGAAGGACAGGAGCACGCTACGGGCGGTGCTTGGGTTCCTTAACTACTACCGCAAGTTCATACCGAACTTTAGCAAGACAGCAGCAGCCCTAAATAGGCTACTGAGGGAAGATCAGAAATGGGAATGGGGAGAGGCGGAGCAGGGGGCACTGCAGGCACTGCTGAAAGCCGTGAAAACCGCCACCGTTCTAACACTGCCCAGCAAGGAGGACCCGTTCGTGCTTTACACCGACTGGGGGCTATCCTGTGCCAGAATAGAGAGGGCGAAGAGAAAGTCGTGGCCTTCGCCAGCCGAAGCTGCAACCCCGCGGAAGCCAACTACAGCTCGTATGAGGGAGAGGGGCTGGCAGCCGTATGGGCGATTACACACTTCCGAGTGTACCTACAGGGGAGACAGTTCGAGCTAGTGACCGACCACCAGCCTTTGACATGGTTGATGACCAACCAAGCGCTGACAGGAAGAAACGCGCGCTGGGCCATGCGTCTACAGGAATACGACTTCTCCATAAGGCACCGCGCGGGCAAAACCATGCAACACGTAGACGGGCTGTCACGGAATCCACCCGTCCACCGACCTACCGCATGCCTAGTGGCCCTATCGAGGGAGATAGATGCCGAGGGAGCTAGCCGCGGACAAGGGAAGGGGCCAGCAGACGTATGGGACGATAAGGAGGTCCTGGACTGGGTGCAAGGAAAGACATCCTAGGAGACCGCAGTGAGTGAGAGAGCTAGGGCCAGAGGAGCCCACTACAGATGGCATCAAGAGCAGCTGCAGAAAAACTCGCGAGAGGGGTGGAAACTGGTCCCACGGAAGCACGAGCGAGAGCAAATCATCCGCAGCGTGCATCGGCAGTTGGGGCACTACGGGAGCCTACGCACTACCCAGCTAGTGGAGACGGGATGGTGGTGGGAAGGGATGAGGAAGGAGATCAAGGAGTGGGTGGAAGGGTGCGAGCTGTGCAGCAGAAACAAGGCAGAGCTAGAGAGAGGCAGGAAAGAGTTGCAGTCACTGCCTATCCATGGGATTGGGTTCAGGTGGTCCTTGGACCTAGCAGGAGAAATGCCGCTGAGCCGACGGGGGAAGCGCTACATCCTAATCATGATAGAACACGGCAGCAAGTGGGTAGAAGTACGGGCCCTCCCTAGCAAGAACTCGGCCAGAATAGCAGAGGCATTCGAGGAACAGGTCCTTACGCGGTTCGGGGCATGCGGGGAAGTCCTCACAGACCACGGGACAGAGTTCATGGGGGAATTCGATAAGCTGCTACAATCCACAGGTATCACTCACCGGAGGACCTCTCGCTACCACCCGCAGAGTGATGGGCTCACGGAACGGTTCGTCCAGACAGTAAAAAGAGGGCTCCGGGCGTACGGGGAGCAATTCAAGAGAGATTGGGACGTGCGGTTAGCGTGGGTGGTGGCGGGATACAGATTCAGCAAGCAGGCAGCCCTGAGGGACCTATCGCCATACTACCTTCTCCTGGGAAGGGAACCAGTGTTACCAGTAGACGCGCCAAGGATGCTCACGGGTTCGGTGCGAGTGGAGAACGAAGCAGACTGGGTGGGGCTAGCTGAGGCCAGAGCCCGGTATCTGAGGGAACTATTACCAGCAGCGCTGGAAAACTTGCACGTGGCGCAACTGCGAGATGCACAACAATACAAGCGACGGGGGGAGCTCCAAAAAGGGAAGAGGGAGCAGGGACTGGGGGCAGGGGAGGAGGTATACTTGAAGCAGGCCAAGCATGACCTGATGGATATCGGGCTGAGCACGGAGCGATGGAAGGTCAAAGAAGTGAAGGACTCTGGAGTAGTGGTACTAGTAAGCGAGCAAGGAAAACACCGGACGGATCACTGCACTAACGTGGCGCGGGCCAGAGCGAGACACACAGGACGAACCAACGGCACGACACCAGCGGGGGAGATCCAGCGGCAGTCAGCAGGAGCAACGGTACAGCCGCGGAGGGGGCAAGTGGAGAGAGGGATTGGATCCAGAGGAGAAAGGAACAATGAGCTGAGGAGCCTGCAGGAGGCAGGTTGAGAAACGTCAGAGGAAGAGAAGGGACAAGCAGCAATAAAGGGAGAGAAGAACTACAGCAAGAAGAGCAAGAGAGGCAGGAGCAGCAAGTTTCCGACAGCGGCTCGCTGTCAGCGGCTCGCTGCCAGCCGCTCGCTACCAGCGGCTCGCTGCCAGCGGCTCGCTGCCAGCCGCTCGCTGCCAGCCGCTTGCCGTGTCCTCCGCGCATGCATGTGGCTCCACAACGGCGATTGCCGCATGAGCCCTGCGGATGAGGGACTCCTCCTTCTGGACCCGCCTTTCTCTCTCTTACCCCGTTCCTGCCTCTCTCTCTTCCCGTCTCCCCTACCTCCCCCCCTGCCCCTCTTTCCTCACATTCCCACGTGTGCCCACCCCTGTGTGTGTGTGGTACTGTCTTATTACTGTCTTAATACTGTCTTGGTACTGTCTTGGTATTGTCTTGGCGCAGCACCATTGAACGGGGAGGAGCAGTGCTGGCAGCGGCGTCTGTGTCGGGGGCAGCTCTCAACGCCACAGGAACGCCGCTGCTTCCTGCTGCTAGCAGGGATAGGTGAGGGCAGGGTCATGCGTGTCACAACCCACCCGATCATGCATCCATTTCGTCAGTGCTGCTTTTTCCTCGTTCCCTCCCCCTTCGCCTTCTCCCCTCCCCGTACGTCTCTCCCTCGCCTCCCCGAACCCTATCACGCATGAGTAGGTGTATATTGTCAGCGTGACCTCATCACACATGCATCAGTGCAGTACCCTCCACCACCGCAATCGCATCTCCCCATCCCCCCCATCCCTCCTCGCCCAAGCAGTCCAAGCAACACCACAACCCTGCCATCATCACAACAACCAGCCCAGCCAGCAGCCATCGACACAGCAGCCATAGCCGCGCCCATGGTAGCCGGCTTCTCATCTCGCGGGCCACTCATCCGCCCCATGAAGGGCACAGCACCGCCCTACCCCACCAACTCCATACTCAAGCCCGACATCATCGGTCCGGGCGTCGCGCTCTATGCCGCCATGCCCGCCGCCACCATTGGCGACGCTGCCGGGCTTGCGCAGCTGTCCGGGACGTCCATGGCGACGCCTCATATCGCCGGCATTGCAGCGCTCATCGTGCAGCAGCAGCCTGACTGGTCCCCAGCTCAAGTCATGTCTGCTATCATGACCACCGCTGCCGTGCGGAACACTAGAGGGAAGTTTATCAGGACTGTGGGGGGGCGGACTGCGACGCCGTGGCAGGTAGGAGCAGGGCATGTGAATCCCGCGAGGGTTCTCGACCCCGGGTTGACGTACGACGCCGGGGAGAGCCACTACAGGAATTTCCTCGCCGGGCAGAGCATGTGGCGGGCAAAGAAGTTCTTTCCCGGTGCGAGCCTCAGGAGAGTAGCCCCGCGCAACGTGAACCGTGCAAGCATCTCCATTGGGCGCATGAAAGGGTACCGCAAGGTGCGGCGCACGGTGACAAACGTGGCTTCCACGACCAGCACGTACACGGGGAAGATCGTGTGCCCGTATGGGGTTGTGATGATGGTGAATCCGAAGCAGTTCACGATCGCGCCGGGGGAGAGAGTGACGTTCACGGTGTCGGTGTGGGTGAATGCCAAGTCGATGCAGTTCCACTATGGCAGCTTGACGTGGCGGGATGAGCTCGGGCATGTGGTGCGCTCGCCCATTGCCGTGCAGCCGCTGCGATACATCAAGTGGTGATGGTCGGACAGAAGGAGGGATGGAGTGGACGGATGGGTGAGTGAGAGAGAGGTGCAGGTGGTGGGGGGGTGGGGGGGAGGAGAACAAGGGGGCGGGGGGACGGACGTGAAGAAGCAGGGGCGCAATGAGCAGTGGGAACCGATGGCTGGCGTGCGTAGCTGGAACGCCCGAGACAAGCCAATCATTTTTTCGTGGCATCTCAAGAATCGATTCCTTGCACATACCTAGATTAGCATCAGTTCCTGCAATCTACACAACGCCGCCCTGCAACTCGGGCCGGCTCAAGAGCCAGGGCACGGCATTTCTACTTGTAGTGTAGATGGCTAGCGGCGGTGCATATTTGTAGGGCCAGAGGCAACGAGTTATCACTCACATGCTGTACCATGCTTCTGTATAGTCGATCACTTGATGTCTGTCATTGCTTTGGTGGTGCAGTGTAGTGCCGCATTATGGAACAAAACAGAATGGCATTGGGAACAGCTGCAAAGGAATACCAAGTATCGTATCATGCTATGGCCAAACTTGATACTGATTCTATAAATTCATTCCAATGCACCAGCTAGCAGTGTGCTCAAGATATGCACAGTTGACAAGACCATAGCAACTACGATTTTCAATACCGTAACATACATATACATCATACATAATCAATTACAGTAACGAGGGCTGCACAGTAATCGGAATCCTGACTTTGCGCCTAAAGTTATCCTTAAATACGATAGCCCCATACACGAAATTCCATCTAGGCCTTGGAACCAACCCCGTGATAACCACTAGAAACCGGTACGAGTCGCCGGGAGACAGCGTGATTCTTGGAGGCACCACCTCCACTATCGTCAGAAAAGGCGCCTTCACCTTGGCAACAAAGGTAGCCGGAATGATGCCCACATTGGTAACAGTCCGCGCCACTGTCACGGTCCCCGCACAGTGCGAGATCGCGATGGACGGTCGGTTGAGCTGGATCGCATCAATCGGCTCCAGAGTCGCCGTCGGATAGATCTTGGCCGTCCGTTTCGGGTTCTGCCCGGCGAGCAGGTTCTTGAAATCAGCGGCTATGAGGTCAAACGAGAGGCCGGGGTCGAGCACCTTGGAGGGGTTCACGTGGCCCGACCCCATCATCCATGGATCCGCCTGAAGCCCGTTCCACAGCCTAATCGGCCGCCCATAAACGTTCGTGGGCTTGGCCGTGGTCAACACGGCAGACATGACTCTCCCGGGTAACCAGGTCGGGTTCTCCTGGATCACCAGCGCTAGCACGCCTGCCACGTGAGCGGCAGCCATGGATGTTCCGGAGAGGCGGCGGAAGCGGTTGGTGCGGGTGCCGCCGGGAGCGGCGGCCCAGAGCATGACGCCCGGCGCGATGAGGTCAGGCTTGAGGAGGTCGTTGGTGGGCTGCGAGCCTCCAGGGCGGGCGAGGGGCAGGGCTACCGGGCCGGTGGAGGAGGTAGAGTCGATGACAGGCGGACGCAGTGGTTGTAGGAAGCGCAGCCAGAGCAAAGGGTTGAAGCTGGTATGGGAGAAGGGTGGGGGGAGGGCGGGGGAAGGGTGAGGGTGGGAAGAGGATGGAGAGAGTAGGACGGAGGAGAAAGAAGGTGGGGGTGAGGTGGGACAGAGGTGATTTGGGCTGGAATGAGGCGGAGGAGGGGGGATGATCTGGTTGAGAGGAGATGAGGACAGGATGAGAAGGCATCAGCTGCAGGTGTTTGGAGGGACAAGAGTATTGGTGGCAGGGATGGGCAGGTGGCAAGGGAGAGGAGCAGCGAGGGTCAGTTTCTTTGAGGAGCAGCAAGGAAATGGCAAGAGCACGTTGGGAACAGGGTGGTGAAGGGGGTGAGGGGGGTGAGGGAGGTGAGGGGGGTGAGGGAGGTGTCTCACAGGTTGATGAGACCTTGTAGTCGTATTCCCAGCAGCGCTGATGTCTCTGCATTTAGCTCCATCACAGGCAACCCGCCCCCTGCTGCTGCCATAGCCGTTGCTCCTCCACCTGCTGCTCCTGCTGCTCCTGCAGCAGCAGCAGCTGGCGAGACTGCCGGTGGCGTTGATGGTACTCCTCCCGAGCTGCCTCCTTCCAGAGCTCCCTCTGCACTTCTTCCGCGGAGGCTATCTCCCGACCCACCGCCGGTTGAATTCGCCCCATTCGCCCCACCAGTCATCCCACCAACCCCAACACCCAACCCACTACTCCCCTCCCCACTACCCCCCTCTGCCACCGTTCCCTCCTCCACACCCCCGCCGCCTTCTCCCTCATCCTCCTCCCCCCCCTCAGCATAAGTGAGCACGACGCCCCGTGCCCCTGCTCTAGCCGCAGCAGCGATCTTCTTCTGGCGGGTTGTGCCTCCAGGGCCACACACCAGCACCTTGCCTAGAACCAGCAGCGGGTTGAGTGACCCGGGCATGCACTGGGATGCCTGCAGGGAGTCAACGTGGAGGGGAGGATCATGGGAATGGTGTGAGTGAGTCTGCTGGTGGACTGTATAGCCGCACATACATCAGCACCTCGCCCATCACCAGCTCAGGGTTCAGTCACCCCGGCAGGCAGAGAGACGACTGGAAGGAAGGGGGGAAGGAAGGAGGATGAGGAGGAGTGGCGTGTGGGCACGGATTGACCGAAGTGAGTGGGTTCAGCGTGCGATGAGCAGAGCGTGCACTGGCCAGCCATGGCCTACAGACATGAATCCTGCCTCGTCAATGCCACCTCATGGGACCCACGCCTCACCTTCTTTCTGGCAGCAGCAGAGAGCGCAGCAGAGGCAGCGGGGGCCATGGGGTGGAACTGCGCGCGCGACCAGTCGCCTGTGAGGCGCACGCCCTCCATTGTGGACGCCAGGGCAGCCAGTGACGCATGCTGGCGCCTACGTGTTGCGGAGGCGGGGGAGAGAGACGCGTTGCCAGGCGAGGATGTGGAGGAGGAGGGGGTGGAGGCGAGTTGGTGTTGGGAGGTGGCGGTGGTGGTGGCGGCATTTGAGAAGTATCCTTTGATGCGTGCACCGTCCATTGACAGCGAGCGGCTTATGGAGCTGCAGTGATGCACGTGCATGGGAGACATGGGGGGCATGGGGGGCATGGGGAGCATGGGGGGCATGGGGGGCATGGGGGGCATGGGGGGCATGGGGGGCATGGGGGGCATGGGGAGCATGGGGGGCATGGGGGGCAAAAAACACGCAACACATGTGTATGCAGCGGGGACACAGGCACACAGAGGCACACAAAGTGGCAGTGGTTGGAAATTCGAGCACAGATGGACATGGAGAAGAGGGCAGTCAAGAAGCGAGTAGGCTGCTTCTCAGAGAGTGTAAGTGAAAAAGGGCAAGAGGGGGCACCTGGCGCCGACAGTGAGGTAGAAGGGCGAGTAGTTCTCAATGGTGCGCACTCCCAGCATAAGCCCACGGTTACCAGATGGCTTCACCACTGTCACTCCAGCCTGATGGCCACATGCGTACACGGGAGGAGGAGGAAGTACAATGCCATGGCTCCACTGCAAATGCTTACCTCCCTTAACACTGCAACACGCACAGTGAAACGCTTACCCACCTTAACACCACAATGCTACCACCACAACCGAGAAGAATGTGTTGGGAACGGGAAGGCTGACCCACAAGCAGGCGTGATGCGTGCCTCTGCTGTGCCATTTGAAGCATCCCGGAAAATGTGAGCGGGGGAGGATGGACGCATAGTGGGAACGCGAAGGTTGAGTTGAGCCCACCCAGCAGAAGGAGAAGTAGTGTACGGTGGTGGGTTAATCACATGCAGCACAACAATGCGGTTCTGCTGCTGGTCTGCTGGTCTGTTCAACGAGGAAACAAACGCCCGCCATTCCCCCTTCCCTCCCCCCCACCAAACGGCAAAAAGCCCGCACGCTCAGAAAGTCGGCGCTACTAGCGACAAGCAACCGAGGGGGCAGAGCATCAGGTTCGAAGCAACCAGCAACATGCCAGCCAGAAATAACCCATGCATCATACACACACTCCACCGCAACCAACCAACCGTTGAGCGCACCTCGAAGGCGTTGAGGTAGGAGACATGGTCAAAGTAGGACGCGGTGGGGCTGAAGCCAGCGCTGAGCGGCACGAGCAGCACGTCAATGTTGTCCTGAATGGCATAGTCCACCGCTGCTTCCACATCCACCAGTGACGCCACTCCCCCCGGCCTGTCCACTCCGCTAACTCCTGGGAGCAGCTGTGTGCGCCACACGACCTTGTAGACGGCGATGCGTGCGCGGGGAGCCATGCCGCTGGCTGCGCCCAGTTGGCGTGTCAAGGGGCCTCCCACTGCCTTGATGTACCGGTTGCCCGCTGCTGCTCTGGAAAGGGGAATGGGGAATGGGAGGGCAGTGGAGGGGGAATGTGTGAGGGAGAAGCGGGGAAAAAAAGGGAGGGTGGGGGAGAGGAAGGGGAAGGTGGGGGAGGGGGTGGGAGAGGGGGGGGTAGGGGAGAGGAGACGGGTGTTTCAGGCATGCAGACGCCTTGCTGGTGCTGCCTAACCTAAGTGGCGTGTAAAGGGGCCACCCGCTGCGTGCTGCCCACTGCCTGCTAGTCACTGCCCACTGCCCCCTTCCCCCTGCCTTCACGTAGCAGTTGCCCGTCGCTACTCTGGTCTGAGGGGGTTGTAAGAGCAGGGTTTGGAAATAGAGGGCAGATGGTACGAGGAAAGAGTGTGCGAACATTAGCTGTGCGAAGAACACTAACCTTCGCTTTCCCCATCATTGCGTTCCCTCCCTCTCGCTCTCCCTACCTCCTGCCATCTACCTGCCGCCTTTCCACCCGCATCTCCCGCGCCCCCCCTGACCAGCTGCCCCACTCACCCAGCACACGAGGAAGGAACCATGGCGAAGCACGTCCCAGGGCAAGACGCTGTCAACAGAGAGGTCGATCGATGACACGACAGGCCTTGACAATGTCTGAGACCCCGCAATACTCACCCGGCACACCAGGAGCCATGGCCAAGCACGTCTCGGGGCGAGAGGTAGTCAACGGTGAGGTCGATGGGTCGGCCCGACTTGACAAGGCCCTGGTAGATGTAGCGCGCGCCCAGCACCTTGGTGTTGCACGCGGGGAAGTCGCCTGTCACTGTGCACACGCCCCTGTAGTCCACGGGCTGCCCCCCATACAGGTCCCCGGCCTGCACTCACACATGGATGCATGCACGGAGGTGGGTGGAAATTCAGGTGACGAGGTCCAGGAAAAGGAGGGGTTTGGTAAGCGCCTTACACTGCTGAAGTGCACGGCTGGCCCTGTAGGAGCAGTGCTCAAGACTGCATTTTACGCGTGTTGTCACTGCACAGCAACTCTCCCTCAACCCTACCATAAATACCCACTCAGCATCCCTCACCCCTCACCTGCTGCTTCTCACTTTCTCGCCCCTACACCCTCACCCATCACACCTCAATTCCCCCCCCCATGCTACTGAACGAATCATACTCAGACCAGATGCGCCTCTCCGCAACGCCAATCACCACGTCCTCGCCCGCCCAGTCCCCCTCACCCCCCACCGACTACTTATCACCCCTCACTCCTCACAGTATACCTTCACCCTTCACGGCCCACCCTCTTCCTTTCTCCCCGCACCTTGCTACTGAAGCTGTCATGTTCGGGCCAGATACCGCTGTCCGCCACGCCAATCACCACGTCCTCGCCCGCAGCGTCCGCGCCCCCAGCAGTGACCCACGCAGTGGAGGGGAGGCGCAGGAAGCGCGAGGAGGCGGTGGTCTGCGGGTACAGCAGGTCGTCCCCGCGCTGCACTGCTGCCACTGCTGGGTGCCGCGACAGCCGCCACACTTGCAGTGGCGTGAGCAGCGCTGCAAACGCGTGGCTGGAGTAGCTGAAGCTGGTGTGCGGGAAGGGGAGGAAAGGAGGAGAGCGGTGGGGGAATCGTGGGGGGTTAGGCACGGGGGTTGGGTGCACAAGGGGACATGAGCAGCGCTGCGAAAATGTGGCTGGGAAATCTGGAGCTGGAGTGTGGGAGGGGGAGGAAGAGGACAGGGGCGAACGGGGTTTGGGTAGGCAAGGGGTTGGTGAGTGCAATGGTGTTCGGTGGAGAGGGGGAGGTGAGGGCATGTGGAATGAAGGTCAGGTAGGCTGGCAGGGAAGGCAGAAAAGGGTTGCAGCAGGGGTATCTGCAGAATAGGAGAATGCTGAAGAGACGAGTGGGTGCGATGGTTGACGTCGGGGCGTTGCGAGGTTGATTTGGCTGATGTGAAGAGGTGAAGGAGGAAGGGATGAAGAAAGCTGTGCCCAAGAAGGATGGTAGAAGCAACGAATGGCTGATGTAACATTTGCCCATGCATACTGGGGGCACCAGCTGTTGGATATACAGGCGTCGTTATGCACACAACACATGGCACCCGCACACATGCGCACACACCCATGCACGCGCGCACACACACACACACAGAGAAGGCCCAGCACCATGCACCAGGCGCCACCAATGTCACTCACTGGTGCGCTAGGCTGTCTGGAGCCACCCCCACCTCCGCCGCCACGGCCTGCTGCTGCTCCCGCAGGAACCGTGCAAACTGCTGCACGTGCTCCGCCCCCACGTCCACCTTCCCCCGCCTCCGCTGCTGCCGCCACTCATGCCGCCGCCGCTGCTGCTCCCCGTTGGCTGCATCTGCAGCTGCTGCGGCGGAGAAAGCAGGGGACGATGATGCATTGGCGTGTATGGAAGGCTGGGACGATGCGCCAGGGGTAGCAGTCCCAGCGGGGTTGGGGGCGTCAGTGGCGGTGTTAGGCCGGTGGGCTGTGCTGTTGTGGGGTGAATCTGCGCTGGTGTTGCTTGATGCAGCTGCAGATGGGGCCGTCGCTGGATAACCGTTGATTCCTCCTCGGTACGATCCGACGGCTGGGGCAGAGCGAAGCCTCACAATGTGGAGCGACGCCTTGAAGGGCTGGGGTACTGCGAGGGGGAGCGAGGGGGGGCGAGGGGGGGCGAGGGGGGAGCGAGGGGGGGCGAGGGGGGGCGAGGGGGGAGCGAGGAGGAAGCGAAGGGGAGCGAGGGTGAGCGAAGGGGAGCGAGGGTGAGCGAGGGTGAGCGAGGGGGAGCGAGGGGGAGCGAGTGAGAGCGCGGGAGGAGCGAGGGAGGAGCGAGGGAGGAGCGAGCAGGGGAAACGGGGAAGAATAAAGGGGCGGAAGGGGGAAAGTTGAAGAATGAAGGGCGGAACACTGGGATATGGAACCAAAGGGCTTGGACAAAGTACGGATGTGGAAAGGCGAGGACTCAGGTGGAAAGAAGAGGGGGATAGGTGGAAGACTGTGGACTGAGTGCCGTGGCGCAGCCGTCGCTACCTCTGTCCACCCCGCCCTGACTTTCCCATTCGCGTCAAAAGCAGCCCCAGGGCCGTCACAAGCAGTGACAAACCAATCAGTCTCGCGCCTCTGCCTTCTACCACCGCCATGAAAGCCCAATCCGCGCCCCTAATCTCTCCCCCCACGCGCTGCCTGCGCACAGTGCTGTCGTTTATCTCTACCCTCCTCCCTCCCACCCTGCGCGCCGCATCATGCGGCTGCATGACCGAAGTAGCAACCCTATTCCCCCGCGCACTGTTATCGTAGCTCGCCGAATGAACTACTATCATGACGAAACACTATCGATAATCGCCACGCGGAACGAGCACGAGGGGGCGCGCGAAACGGAGATGTTACTTTTAGAAGAGGCCGGAGGCGGGTGGACGACCAGCAGAAGGAGCAGCAGGGGGAGGGGCGAGCGCGCCAAGCGCGGTGTCATTGCTGGGGGGGAGAGACGCGCGGGGAGCGGAATGGCGCGCGGAGGGGCAGGGGGAAACTGCTGGTGTGCGCTCTCGAGGTGCTGGGCGCGCATGGGGTAACATGTGCGCGTCGGCGACGACGCTTGTGGATTGAGCGTGCCAATAGAGACGAGCGAAAGGCTGCAGAAGGGGAGTTCCTTCGCCGGGGGGAAGGGAAAGACGGGAAAGGGGATTGCGTAGAAGCTGTGTAAGCTACGATCGTAGCGGCGGCATTCGCGCCGTCCCACAAAGAGGCATAGGACGTAGCGGGAGGTTCGGAGTTTTTTTAAGTGGCAGTTGCGCGGGAGTCTCATTAAAAATACAGTGGTGGAAGCTGCTGATCATCGGGCACCCGTACGAGCTGAAGATTGTGCGTGCTTTGGTTAGATGCTCGTGCTGTTGCTGCTTTGTTCAGGGAGGCATGGTTGGTGGGAGTGGGGGTGGCGGTGGTGGTGGAAACATTGCTGGAAAGCATATCCATCGGTTATAATCGGTTAGCCTAGTTTGGTTTCCACGAGCAATTGGCCGTAAATTGCGCCAATGAGTGGGATAGGTCCAGTGTACAATTGATGCCCAGCCAGTGCACGCGGATTTGCCTTGCGCTGGATGGAAACGCTGCACCCGAGGTTGTTTCCCCAGCCTGTTGCTCCCACGTTATAAGCGCGTCGCGTGGTTATCAACCAATAGTAACGAACAGACCGAGGTCAAGCAGAAGAGACTGAAGTCAAATAAGGTAACAGATCTTGTTTAAAAGCACCTGCGAATCCTTTTTAGCTAGCTGCGAATTGACGAAACTTATGCGAAATGCTCGTTACAGCTTATACGCCCCTTCACAAGGCAACCGGGAGGGGCTCAAACAGGCATCAATTGTACAGTACATTTGAGTGCGCCAGCGCGAACAGGCCACGCAGGCGAACGGTTAGCGATCTTTGCACATGGGAAGTTACACGACAGCCGTCGATCCGGTTTGAACTGCTGCGGGTGGTGCGTTGTAAGTTACACGTAGGTGTCCTTGTTGTTGTCGTGGCGCGTCTAGACAGACGGTGAGTCGTTGAAGTAGCGCTCTGACCGTCAGGGTAAATTACTCAGAGCATGAAGACACCGAGCAGCTGTCAGCAAAATATACAGAAAGCTAGCCTGGCGTCGTGAATTACTACATTCGCTATTCCTGTCCCACCCAAATCCTCAGTAAGTCGCTCTATCGCCCTGTTAAATTGGCCTTTTTAATCCACCGGAGACAGATTCCTACAGGGAAGTTTGAGTATGAAGCCGCTCATGTCGGGTACTTCCGTTCGTGCACCATCCCATTCTCCACCGAAATTTTGTTGAGGAACGTGCAGGGGGTGACTGGGAACTCCGCTTCGTTATCGGGATAGCGTGGTAATTACACACAAGCAAATCGTACAACAGAATACGTACGCTCACAAACTTATTATTGGCCCCAACGTTCATGCTCTTTCTTTACCACGGCCATCACTAACAGTCATCCTTGTTTCTGCGTCGAATTGTTTTTTGCTACTGTTATGGGTGAAATTAAGCCAGCAAGTAGAGATTGCACTAAGGAGTCAAACGAGTACGAACATGTGAGCGAACATGTGAGCGAAAAAAATATAGCAAACTATAACGCGGTTTCGTGTGAGCTAGCTAGTGCGATGCTGGCAGCGAGATTTAGGCTAGTTCCAAAGCGTAGGCCGACTCAAGCCAGTCCAGCTGTGCGCGGTTTGAGAAATGTGACGCGCGAAGTGGAGAACAACATTACGCGGTTACGGACCAAGAAACGGCAAGTCTTTTACACATTGTTGAGTGCGCAGTAAGGAATGCCGAGAGATTTCCTTACACTACCCCCCTTCCCGAGAAGCCCCTCTGCTAAGCGAGAGTGCATATCGCAAAATCCACGGCTTCGAAGATACACTTGGAGGGCAGGATGAGTTTCGAGGTTGGGAGGTACATGCGAAGAAGGCTGACGTGGAATGCTGGGCTGATGTACAGTCAGTGGGTGTTGACGGGAGTAATCATGTGGCTGATTTGAGACGAGCTAGAGAAGTGCGGTCGTAATTTCGGCTCGACGAGCTGACAAAAGTTTCGAATGTCGAGCAGAATGTAGACTCCTGGCAGTTACTTTACTCGACGGCGGTGGCGATAAGTGTTCCTTTTAGCGACGACATTCGTTTTTTTAATCGCCTCCGTTGCGCGCGCTCGGGCACCCTGCGGAATTTCGGCGAACTGTTGCGCTCGTGGTGTCGGGTTGACCAGGCTCGGCGTCATGGGCGGTTAAAGGGAATGGAGTATTGGCCCCGCCCTTGCTTGGGCAACGCCGACGACTTAGTCGGATGTACAAGAGTAGCAGTCGACCGTTCACAGTGGGAGAGCTGCTCGACAGGCTTCGTCAAGCTGCAGGGGTCCGCTGTGGTGCTGCTGTCGACCAGGGAGCTCGACAGCTGCAACTGACTGGTCTGGGCGACGGGTGGGCCGTCGACCAGGGGGGGCAGTTCGACCGGGAGGTCGACGGAGCAATCCGTCGACCTGCAGTTCGACCGGGAGGTCGATGGAGCAGTCCGTCGACATACAGTTCGACCGGGAGGTCGACGGAGCAGTCCGTCGACCTGACAAGTGAGCAGCGGTCGACGCGGGGAGCTCGACGACAACAGCAGACAGTTCAGGTCGACGGAAGGGGTCCGTCGACCAGGGGATAGCTCGACAGGAGCTGTGGTCGACCATAGGCACCTGGTGGTCGATCAGAGGCACCTGGTGGTCGACCAGAGGCTGTGGTTGTCGGCCGGAAGAACCTGGTGGTCGACCAGGTCGACCGGGTAACCTGCTCAACGAGTTCTGCGGAGGCACGCGAATGTAGTCGAGGTCGCGATGGCGAAGGCGAATTCGGGCTGGTATCCCGAAGTCGATGTGGCTCGTCAGGCGCAAACAAAAGCCGACGGATGCACATCAATGCAAGTCGGGCCAATCGTCTGCTCGCACCTGCGAGCATGCGCAATGCTGTCTTCTACGGGGCAATGCTGGACAGCCGCTCTGCTGCAGCGTTGGCACGCCGTCGACCTGCTATGTTGGCATGTCGCCTTTCTGCAGTGCTGGCGCGACTCCTCTACGCAACGCTGGCAGGCGGTCAACCAAGCTGTGCTGGCGGTCGACCAGGCTAGCTGCAGAGTTGCTAGATGCCTGATGTAGTCATTGTTGTGCTTTCTTGTTCAATCATTTTGTAGATCCAACTTTGCTAGTGAAACTCTTTCCAACTTTTCTCGTGAATGTGCAAGTGCTAAGGAACGCAAGCAAAGCTACAATCACTCTTAGTAGTTCGTGCCTACTCCCCCGTAGTCTAGTTCACTACCTTTGTCGAGTGACTCTTCGCATGGGCACCGTAGGGTCCTGGCCATAGTACAGGTAAAACGACGACTATTGCGTGGTTGCTGATGTGGCATTGTTGTTGGTGAACTCAATCAGCGGCAACTGTTGCTCCTTTGTAGTAAGGTCGTCATATGTGGCGTGAATCAATTGCTCCATGGACTGGTTTGTTCTCTCAGTCTGTTCGTTGGTTTGAAAGTGGTAGGACGAACTGAAACGTACACGGGTCCCGAACTGCTCCCACATGTATTTGTAGAAGTCGCTCATAAACTTTGTGTCCCTGTCGCTGATGATTGCTGCTGGTATCCCGAGCAGGCGAACGACGTCTGCGATGAACAGGCGAGCAGTTTCTTCGGCCGAGGTCGACTTTTTGCACGCAGGGAAGTGAGGCATTTTTTTGTTCATCGGTCAACGACCACCATGACCGCGTCGTTACCATATGGGCTCGCGGGTAACACTGTCACACAATCCAAAATCACCTGTTGCTAGCCACGTTCAGGTGGCGGAATCGGTTGTACTTGACCCGCTTTATTTTTTCACGAACTCTTCATCACCTGGTACGTAAGGCACGATCCCACGTACTGTTGTACGTCGGTCAACAGCTCCGGCCAATAGTAATACCACTGCTGTTGCTGTCGTGTTTTTTCTACCCTGAAGTGGCCTGAGGTAACCCCGTCGTGTACCTCTTGCAGTAGGAGTTCCCTTAGCAGTGATTATGCCAGTACCCGAATGCGGTTGGTGCTTGTTTTTACGTAATAGGTTCCTCTAGCTCCTGTCAGCTGCTGCGAATTGTTAGCGATGAAAATTGGCTGTGTGAGGTAGATGTGGGTTTATAGTACAGCTAGTAGCTGGTTGGATTGGGCGGATAGTATGGCATGCAGTTGGGCAGTGGGGCGGGTGAGGGCGGTCAGAGATGTTTGATGCGCCTTTTTTGTACGTTACGGTGTAATGGAAATCGGTATCCAGATGGTCCAGCCAACGTATCTGTCGTGAGTTGAGATTCGGTTGGGCGAGAAGGTACTGTAACGAGCGTTGGTCAGTCCCTACTGACATGTCTGCTCTTGTCAGGTAGCACCGCCACACCTTGAACGCGTGCACGATGGCGGGCATCTCGCGGACGTGTATTGGCTAGCTGCGCTCGGGCGGGTGAAGTTTGCGGGACTCGTACGTGATTGGATGAAGGCGGTTCCTAATGTCCCGCAACAGTACGGCTCCGGCGGCAATGTCGCTTGCATCGGTGACGAGTTCGAACGGACAGTAAGCGTCAGCGATGTGCAGCATGGGCAGCAAGCAAAAATATATTTCAGGGCTGAAAATCCAGCATGCTCTTTCTTCCCCCACGTGTATTCAACCAACTTCCTCAGCAGGTCGGTCAGCGGGGCAATCAGCTTCGCCATGTCGGGGACGAGCCGACGTATGTAGTTAATGATCCCCATGGAACTTTGTAGTTAGGATAGGATGGTCGGCGGGTACCAGACGTGAATGATCGCCATTTATTTTTGATATATTTCCACGATGTTGGCCAAAATTATGTGCCCAAAGAACTCCAGCCGGTCCAGTAGAAATGCCCAAAGAGCTCCCAATCAGCCCCATACTTGTGCTTGAAGATCCGCCATTTTTTTCCAAGAGGTAGCTCACAACTCCCAAGTGTCGTTCACCAACGAACAGTCGTACTCCTCCGTCACAATCTTCTTCCGCTTTTCAGCATCGGCCCGCTCAA